TTCGCTGGTTGGATTCGATCCAAGGGTTACCCCAAGGAAATTGTTTGGGACCTCGACACTTGGTTCATGTCCGACTTTTGGTTGGTGCTCATCAAACGGTGGGCAGGGTTATTACTCAGGGGTCCCGGGGCCGGGGCTGGGGCCGGAGCCGGGGTGGGGGGTTTATCCTCGGGCCCTCGACACCGCACCCCCCCATCCATCCTCGCCCCTGCCCCAACCTCAACCCCGCCCACGGTCCTGCAAACCGGCCTCCGCCCCTGCACCCCCGCCCCCGCCCCCGCCACCAACGCACCCTTGGCCCCGCACCTAAGGACAACTCGGGCTCACCAAGGGAGGGTGTAGCCCCGGGGGAGGGGTTCGAGGTGGGGTCAAAATTGCATTTTTGCAGTGAGGCCCAAGCGGTGCAGGCTCTTGCTGCGCACCCCTCTGTATTTTTATTTTTATTTTTTGATTTAAAAAAAAAAAATTATTGTTTTCATTTGGCCCCTTTTGGGTCGGGGTCAGGGGACCACCGCACTGAAGCCCCGGGGCCGGGGCTGTGACAACCCTAACGATGGGGAGGGGTCTGAGGCGGGGTAAAAATTGCATTTTTGCAGTTAGGCCCAAGGGGGTGCAAGCTCTCGCCGACACCCCCCCGTATTTCTATTTTTCTATTTTTATATTTTTTAAATTTATTTTGATATTTTTCTTTTTGGCCCCTTTTGGGCCGGGGTCAAGGGACCACCGTACCGGAGCCCCGGGGCCGGGGATGTGACAACCCTAACGATGGGGCTCACCTCTCAAGGCGAGTTTGACTGGCCACCCACAAACTGATGGCCAAACGAAGAGGGCGCATCAAACCGCACAGGTTCGTCTTCGCACTCTCATCCGTCTTGGCCAAAAGGATTGGGTTGAGCGGCGGCCGGACGTCGAGTTGGCTTACAACTCGTCCATTCATCTAGCTATCGGGATGTCGCCCTGTGAGTTTGAGCATGGCTTGTTGGTGACATCACCTTTGGACACGATCATCTAGTGAGCGACCGAGAGCGACCACCACCTTATGTTTATTTGACGGATGCACATGCTCCTTATCAAGGCACGTGCCTAGATGTCGAAGACGCAGTAACACATGAACCGGCAGGCCAATTGTCAGTGTCTTCCTTGTCCGTTCTGCGTCGGCAACCTTGTTTGGGTGTACGCCGCGGAATTCAGCCTCGAACAAGATATCTCTCGCAAGCTCCTTCCCAAATGGATGGGGCCTAGGCGCATTGTAGTCGCCGCAGGTGATGCACCCGAAGGACCATCATTTGTCATTCAGGTGCCCGCCGACTTGCTCGTCTACCCGGTCTTTCATTGCTCAAAGTTGGCTCTTTTCGTTTCGGCGGAACGTGAGGACTTTCCCGGGTGACGATCGCAAGACCCATCCTCCATGGACTGTTTTCAAGAGGTTAGCGACATTATTTCATAGTGGCGCTATGGCACCAAGCTGAAGGAGTATTTAGTACATTTTTCTTATTGTACCCATAAGGCTGACCGTTGGTTGACCCGTGCAGAACTTCAGGCGACAACCCCCGACGTCCTCGCACGTTAGGAACACAAGCTACAAGGCAAGCCGGTACCTGCGGCTCCACGTTGCACTCGCGTCTAGGTTCCACAATTGGATCATCAGCTTCGGCCTCGACCCGGCTTGACTTCATAAGGAGGGGGCGGTGTTACATGCTGAGCCTGCACACAGGCCCCATTTTGGGGACCCGATGGTTGTTGGGGGCCCCCGGACCGCATGCCCTTCGAACGTGGCCTTGGAGGCCTACGGTCTGTCCTATTTTTGTCCGTTCAGGTGTCGTTTGGGACCTGCAGTCCCCGAGGCGGCGCCTTGGGCTAGGTTCACCAAGAGGCAGGCCTCCCTGGCCCAGGTACAGGGTCTGGACATCCGGTCATGACACAGAGCCAGTAGGCCCACGTTTTGGGCAGAGTACCGTATTTTTGTCCATTCAGGCGTCGTTTCGGACCTGCAGTCCCCGAGGCGGTGCCATGGGCTAGGTTCACCAAGAGGCAGGCCTCCTTGGGCCAGGTACAGGGTCTGGACATCCGGTCAGGACACAGACCCAATAGGCCCACGTTTTGGGCAGAGTACCGTAGGCACACAGAGGCAGCCCAGCCGGGCCAGCGCTACTTATAGCTGGGCAGAGACACAGTTCGAGTAGCTTACTTCTTGGGTGACACACTGCTGGAGCAGTGCTGCGATACTACAGCGCTACGCTGAGGACAGAGGTAGAGGCGTAGGAAGGCAGAGGGGCGGAGGCTATAACTGCGTCGACAATTTTTACGTGGGCGCCATAACTGCACTCCATGCCAGCGACCTGCACAGGGACACTGGGACTGTCAGTACATGGCGGCAGTTAACTGCAGGTTAGACAACGAGGAGGACAACGTCTTCTTCTTCTTCTTCGTCTCACCCTACATCTCGTCTCCCTCCTTCTTTTTCTTCTTTCAGAGAGAGAGAGAGAGAGAGGTTACAGGCATAGGTTACATCGGGCAGGAAGCCCGGATTTGATTCGGCATTTTGTGGCAGACATTGATTGGACATTTGGTAGGGAGACTATTTTTGGACTTCGTTCGCTATCACGATCTTGGTCTTCTCCCTCACCTCCATCTTCGTATTTTCCCCCCATCTCTTCATCTGTAGTATCTCCCCCCATGTGCGTGTGCAAGGAGGGACTTTTCTTGTGTGTGCCGTCCCTCCCCCCCCTCTCTCACATGTGTGGTGTATGATGGGATGTCGCGTCAGTATCTCACAGGTCAGGTCATATCTCTGAGTCTTCCGCTGCGGTACATTGTGCTATTTTCATGTCTCTGGATATACATTGGTTTTGAAGCTTTGCTAACGTTGCATTGTCCATTTGAGTCCTTTTCATCACTTTGTGGGTCCTTGGCTCCATATACATTGCTCAATTGAGCATATCACCCTTGCTCTCCCATCTCCATTCGGAAGTATTTGGACTTGCTGACGAAAGCCTGCGCAAACATGCAAAAGGCTAAAGTCCGCATGCAGCTCCAAGCTAATCGGCGGCGTGTGCCATGTCCTATGCGCGCCGGTGACCTTGTATGGGTTTCCTCCGAGGAGCTCGCACTTGAACAAGATGTTTCCCACTAACTCCTCCCCAAGTGGTTTGGACCTTGGACCGTCAAATCAGTCGCGGGCGACGAGTCCCGATGGCCCATTGTTCGTGATCTCGACATCCCGTGGCATCTACGGGTCCACCCATTCTTCCACACCTGTAAGCTGGCTAGTTTCACACCAGCCAAGCATGACAACTTCCCAGGCCGGCGATCGCAAGACCCTCCTTCTATGGATGGCCGCCAGGAGATCGATCGCGTCGTGACACACTGTTAGTATGGCAACAAGCCAATGCAGTACAAGGTCGCCTTCAAGCAGTGCGACCGCGATGACACATGGTGGATCTCATGAGCAGACTTGCAACCACTTATCTACGCCAACTATGAACGACAATGATTAGCAAAGGAAGCTTCACAACCTGCCCCTCCCACTCGGACTTCGGTCCCTCCGAAAAGCTAGACAGCTTCTCCCTTGCAGGGCTCTGTCTTTCGAGGAGGGGGGCGTGTGGCATACTCAGTTCCACATGGGCCCTGCAGGGTCCGACAGTAGGGTTAGGGGTTTCGTATGGTTTAGGGACTGTCATTTAGGCTGTGTTAGGGTCCATAGGACCCAGTAGACCACTGATTCGTTAGGTGCCAGACCTTTCATATTTTGGCATAAGACCAGATTCCAGCTTTGGGGCAACAAACTCTTTGTTTTTTGGCACCAGACCAGATTCCTGCTTTTGGTGCCAGACTTTTCGCATTTTCACCATGTTCCTACTTTTGGCACCCTTTTGGCGCCAGACCAATTTTCATTTCGCCTCCCCTTTGGTGCCAGACTGTTTCCCTTTCGGCCTAGGACACTAGGCCCAGCGTTATATATAGCTGGGCCAGCCTCATTCTAGGCAGGTAGCTCAGAGGTAGCTTTGAGGTAGAGCTGTAGTCTTCAGTAGTCGACGTGCTGGGCGCAGATAGGCGTAAGTCTTCAGCGCAGGGCGCGATATAGGCGATGAAGCGCTGCCCTAGCGCAGCAGCCAGGGTGAGAGAGAAAGAGGAGATCAGTGGAGGCCAGGACGGACTTACCTGCGACTTACTTGAGGCACCATAGCTCCCACTTCGTCCTCGGCACGTCCGTACCTGCATCAAGGTGACACCTTTCTGCGGGGTAGTTCCTGGCATACAGAGAGAGAGAGAGAGAGAGAGAGAGAGAGAGAGAGGATTGCATCTTCTCTTTTTTCAATGTCTGTTCCTCCATTGCTTCTCCTCTTCCCCTCCGGATCCTTTTCCTCTTCTTTTTCTTCTTCTTCGACTGCTGTGTGTGTGTGTGTGTGTGTGAGAGAGAGAGAGAGAGAGAGAGAGAGAGATGACATTGAGACCTGGTGACCTTCGGGCATTGCCCAGTTCAGTGACATTGCGACTTGACATTGTATAAGCTGTGACATTGGGGATACATTGGAGACCGGGTTCGTTGGGCTATGGTGGCTGATGCTCCCTATCTCCCTCTTCCCCCCTTCATCTCTTGTCCTTACTTTGTCCGTGTGCATCCTTCTATGATTGAGTGCTGAGTCCCCCACGCTCTGAGTGATGATGTATGCTGTCAGGTCCTGTCATCGTCCATGCCGAGTCAGATCTTGGTATTACAGTCTTCCACTCTGCTATTTTTGTATTGTCTCTGAGAGGTCGGTTCTCGGTTCTGATCGTTGCCAATTAGGCATACGACACCTTGAGACTTGAAAGATTCATTGGTCTCATCTTGCATGTCCGGATAGGCGACACCTTGAGACTTGAAAGATTCATTGGTCTCATCTTGCATGTCCGGATAGATGCTTCCCAAGATGCATTGATATGATTGTTGTGCTCTGCTTATTTGCCTCATTGTCCCTTTGTTTGTGTGTGCTTTTTGCTTGCCCTGAAACTTGAAGATGGAGGCGCTTCGGCGGTTCCATGAGGAGAAGCTTAAGCATGCACAAGAGGCACAAGAGCAGAAAGTCCGGGAGCTGCTGAAGAGACAGCAAAAGGCAGTTAAACGTGACGAGAACGAGATTGAACAGCTAATTCAGTCAAGGAACTTGACAGAAGAGCAATCGTCGAAGTTGAGGTACGATGGACTGGCAAAGTTTCTCGTCTCGTTTTCTCATTTCATGTCTCTTCTCTGTTCTTGTCATCACACTGGCTCGTGGTTTCGGTCAGTCGCTGAATGTCCTCGAGGGAGGTCCCACTATCAAAGAGGATTCAATTTAACGCCTGAATCTGGACGTGTTTTTGGAGAGGTGCAGAATATCATGATTGATCTGCTCTGCCCGTACGTTCCTCAAATCGGGGCTTGTTAACCAACATAGTCAATTCTGTTCGAAGCTTATGTAAGTGAACTAATCGAAGTAGACTTAGATTATGTGTACAGACTGTGTAAATGTAGATCACTTGAACGGTAGCCTGGGTGGCTTGCCAGATATTATTTTCAGTACAATATATAACTATCGCTAATTTTCGGCCTGTGACAAGCAGACGATCGGGGCCCTCCGATTTAACATGCCGTGACGGTCCCGATCGTCTGCTGATCGTTTTCTCTTAGAAGTTGAACCGTCGCACGTGGTGCCTGGCCTGCATGCCAGTACAGGTACCATATGCTGTACTGGGTCCACACTCCTGCACGGGTACTGGCGCATGTTACTGGCGCATGTTACTGGGCCAGCACCGGAACCGCGCACAGCACCGGGACAGTGTGGGTACCGTCGCACGTTACCGGGCCAGCGTCGGTACCGCGCACGATTCGGGGGCAGTGTGGGGTTACAACGTATAGCAACAAACTTTTTGCGCACTGCCCCGGTATGTAGACTGGACGTCGTCAGTAGACGTCAACTATACTTTCTAAGCGACGGCCACTGGAATCTAGACGGTCTAAGGTACTCGACGACGTTGTGGACTGCCCTACTCTACCCTACTCTAAGCTCTGCATAGACAGGCTAACCTACTCGACTACGTTGTGGACCGCCCTACTCTACGCTACTCTTAAGCTCTACTCTACGCGTTCGACACACACGTGCACACACACACACACACACTGGGCGACGTGGTGAGTCCTTATTGCTCCTGGGCAGATTGTCGGGGCTCAGCCTCCTGATGAGTCTTGCGCAGTCCTCTCTCTCTCTCTCTCTCTCTCTCTCTCTCTCTCTCTCTGACACTCACACACACATGTACAAAAAGAGGTTGCTCCTAAGCTTTTTGCAGTGCTGGAGATAGGGCTGTGCATCGGGATGGGCTCTGCATCGAGAAGGTTGTTGCTCCTGATGTTTGGGCTGTGCATTAGAGCACACCAGCATGATTGAAAGTGAGTTTTGTGCTTTTTGTTTGTGTGTGTGTGTGTGACTGTGTGCGTGTGTGTGTGTGCTTGTGCGACCCACTTCGCTCGACGATGTTACTCCACTGTATGCTGCGACGGTCGACTTCCACTTTGCTACTGTACTCTAAGCCTCTACTCTATGCTGTGACGCTCAACTTGAACTATGATACTCTTCTCTGTGCGGCAACGCCACGCTCAATGGTGTTCGCTACTCTACGGTGTGCGAGAGAGATTGGGATAGCAGGAGCGGGAGCGGCACAAGGTGGAGAGGGGGAAGCGGAGGGGGCGATGAGCACCTGATCGAGCACGCAAGAGAGAGAGAGAGAGAGAGAGAGAGAGAGGGAGCAGAAGTGGGATAGCGGGAGTGGGAACGGGATGGCGGGAGCAGGATAGCGGGACCGGGATAGCGAGAGCAGGTTAACCGAGCACCCATTTTTCAGGCCCATTTATAAGAAAACCAGACAGTCATTTTAACAACACTTCACACCAATCTATAGAGTGCACTTCTTACGACCCCATCACAGAAAAAAAA